TATTGCCAGAATATTATCTTAACCCCAGCTGGTAAAAATATTATTTAAACAGGCCAGTCTTTTAAAACAACAACAAAAGTACATTGCCCTGTAATTTTCTTTTGACCTGGCAGTCAATGAAAACTTCTAGAACTATTTCTGTACGGATCCCTAATAAACCACATTGTTATAGCCTTGACACCTGGATGCAGTCTGTAGGCCTTTACTCTTATTGCATTATGCTGGGTTTGCTGGAGTTCTAGTCCAGAAACCTACTTGTCTTTGATTTACTTGTTCATTTTTAATAACTCTCAGATGCACAGAAGTGGGTTAATCATAATCCTTGGCTCAAGACATCTATGACTATCTTTTATATTTATTTATTCTTCATTTGTTCTCCATCTATTTTTTTTCTTTTTTTTTTTTTTTTAATGGATAGACTTTTTTTTATTACCAGGGATTGAACTCAGGACCTTGTGCTTGTGAGGCAGGCGGTGCCACTGAGCTAAATCCCCAGCCATGGATAGACTAATATTTTTAGCAGTTTAAGTTTATGGAAAATATGAGCAAAAACTACAGAGTTCCCATATGCCCCTCTCCCCCTTCCCCTCATTCCTTCAATTATCGACATCTTTCATGAGTAGGTTGGTTCATTTGTCCCAACTGATGAGCCAATACTGATAAATTATTATTAACTAAAGCCCAGAATTTGCATTTGGTCCACTTTCTTTCTCTCTCTCTCTCTCTCTCTTTCTCTCTCATTTCTATGCTGGGGTTGAACCCAGAGCCCCACATGTGCTAAGCAAGTGCATGCCCAGCCCTAGGGTCCACTCTTTGTGTTGTACATTCTATGGGTTTTGATAAGCATCCATTTTTATTTGTTTGTTCATTTGCCATGCTGGTTTTGCGTATCTTTTACTCTTTTTTTTTCTTTTTCTTCTTTTTTTTTTGAAACAGGATCTTGCTATGTAGTTCAGGGTGGCCTTGAACTCACTATGTAGCCTAGGCTGGTCTCGAACTTGCAGTGATCCTCCTGCCTCAGGCCCCCAAGTGCTGGGATTACAGGCATGCACCACTATCCCCAGCACATCTTTTACTCTTTAGATACTTTATTTTTTAGATATTTCTTTAGCAGTTGTTATAAATAGGGACTTTCTTATTACATTCCTCAATCTGGGGTCCACAGTTCCCAAGACATCCATGGCTGGGCTCCAGGGCTTCTGTGAGCCTTCTGAAATTGTGTGTGCCTTTTTAGGAGGAGTTCAGTACTTCTGTCAGATTCCCAGATAACATCTGTCAACAGTACTAAATCCCACTCCTGTGGCGGGTACTCCCCTGAGCACTTCGCAAGAGCCACACTCACCCTGAGAAACAGAGGCAGCCATACACCCCATTATATGCTGAGAGAGGATAAGTACTTTGTTCAAAGTCTCACAGCTAAGAAATCCACAGCCAGCACCCAACTGACCTCAAAGCTATATCCTTAACCTCTGTACTCTGTAGCCTCCAAAGGGATCAAGGGGCCCTGTCTACACCCTGCCCATGGCCTCACTGGGCCCTGTGGCTCAGCTGTCAAACAAAAGGTGAGGATTCTGCCCTAATCCTTTCGGAGCCACCAGACTGGCATTGGGGCAGGGATGGAAGAGGCTCTGGCAACTGGTGGAGCGCTGTGTCAGTGAGGGACAGAGGAGGCTGGGGCGGGGCATCGACCCCTCCCGTCACCATTGCTAGCTTGCTGGGAGACAGTGGCACCCAGCTGAGCTGAGGTGGGGCTGTCCTCCTACTGGTGACCAAATGGGGACACCGGCCAGGCAGCAAGAGGCGGGAGTCCTGTGGAGAGTTAGGCCCGAGAGTGGCAGAAGCACTGAGCGGAGCCTGGTCCAGCAGAGAAGCCACTTCTCTTCACCCTTCAGGGCTCAGGCTAAATGGGGGCGCCTCCTCACGGACACCTTCCCTGACACCCGGTCTCCCCAGGTTGCTGCTCTGTCTCAGCTCCTTGCTGTTTCCTTCCCTCCTTGTCATTATCACATTCGGATGTTGTGTGCAATTCTTCGTCTCTCTCCTCCCCTTCCCATTATAAGCACTTCACAAGGGCAGCAGTCAGTCTGCACGTTCTCAATAGAGTCCACAGTGTCCAGCCGCTGCAGGCATCAGATAAATACTTGTTGGATGAAATGAATGAATGAATGAACGAACGAACTGAATCGTAAAGGGTCCCACGTGTGCTGGCCCATACAAGAGTCATTAGTCATGTTCGGCTACTCAAGTTTAAAAGAACAAAAGTAAATACATTTAGGGCCAGGGATTTAGCTCGGTGGTTCTGCCACCTGCCACAAAAGCGCAAGGACCCAAATTCCATCCCCGGTACCAAAAAATAAAGTAAACACATTTAAAATTCTGCCCCCCGGTCACACTCATCACACCTGGAGCGCTCATAGCTACGTGCAGCTGGCGGCTGCCACAGGAGACTGCACAGAGGTCGGACATCCATCCTCTCAGAGGGCTCTGTGGGACAGCGCTGCCCCGGGGGACTTGAAAAGCAGAGCAGGTGGACAAGGGCATTTGGAGCAGAGGGCACAGCCTGTACCAGACTCCACACATGAGAGAGATGATGTGATCTTGGTTGTTCAGGAAGAATGGGGAGAGTCCCTAAAGGCCTTCTGGTTAGAGGCTGAGCCTCTGTCCAGGAGACAAAAAGGGACCTACCCAGGCTCGCCGGGGAAGTCCAGGAGTGGCAGGGCAGCCCAGGGCTTCCGACTCCAGGCTTCAGGCGTATGGAGTCAGTTTCCCCTTCCCAGTTCTTGGGCCCCTCCTTTGCAGTCCCCTCCCCCGAGAGCCAGGCCAACAAGCTCCGGGAACCTCCATCCTGGCCCTCACACCGGCCGCTCCCATGTCTCCTTCACTCCCACGGGCGCCCGCCTCCAGCATCTGACCCTTGGAAACTTTAGACATCCCAAGGAGAATAGCTGCTTATAACCATTTGCTAATTACACGTATGGATGTCAATTAATTCATTTAGCTAATTAGCCACTCAATGAGCACCACGCACCAAAGAACTGTAAAAGACAGGCATATGGCGAGCAAGGAGGGGGTGGCCGGGTGCTCGTGCAGCATGCAGGGACAGGAGGGGGCACCGGCCCCAGCCCTACCCCCAGAAAAGTAGAGGGAGGCCGCTTAATGGCTGGGGGAACAGAGCGGCTGCCGCAGCCACTGCCATAAAGCATAATTACAGCTTTCTGCTAATAGTGCTGAGAGAAGATGTGCACACATGGGATCACATACAGACAGGCGCACACATACACACGTGCTTCTGTCTACACATATTCACCCTTGGTGCACACAAACAGCACACAACCATAAGCACAGTGTGCATGGCACACACGTGCATGCGCACACACATGCGCACACCTGGATACTCGGGGTCCTGAGGCATCAGTACATAGAAGGGTCCTCAAGCAGCACAGCCCTTGGAGGAAGCAAAAGGAAGACAATTCCTTTGTTCCCCTTGGTGCCATGCTCAGGCCTCAGCCCTGCCACGAGCACTACTGCATTCACACCTCACAGAAGCCCATGCACAATGAACTGTCTTCACTTTACAGAGGAGGAGACTGAGGCTCAGAGAAGCAGAGGCCTTTGCCCAAGGTCCCATGGCCAGTACGTGACAGAGTGGGGACTGATTCCCCTGCCTCTGTGACCACCTGTGAGGGAGGCAGGGGAAGGAAAGGAGGATTCCGTCTGCTCACACTCCAGCTTTGGCGGAAAGAAGCTCTGTCCTGCTTCAGCAGTGAAAGTATGTCCTCCCAGGGCTGAGCAGGACACATGAGGACACTATGAGGAAGAGGAGGCTGCGAAACATAAAGATTGGACACTGGCACAAAGGTCAGCGTCCCTGGGAAGGGATCTCCCTGTCGACATCTGCCTCGTCCTTAGTCAACTCTGAGTCCGGTGCCAGGCGTGGACTCCAGGCACAGAGTGACTCAGACCTGAGGTGCACGCAGACTGTGTCCCCAGGGAACAAGCCACACCCTCCCTAAGGTCGGGAGAGGGGAAGAGCCTGGGCTGTAAGAGGCTCCACCCTCCACCCCAGCTCACCCCCTGGTCCTGGCTTGGCCCATCATCATCTTGTTGCACGGCAGGCAAACTCTTTCAGCCTCTCCTTCTCCCTCCCTTTGAGTGCATTCACCACAGTGAAGGGAGGGAGGGACCAGAGTCCGGTGATTCACTTTTCATCCTCTAGACCAGAAGAGGATGGTCTCACAATCATCTAAGCAAAAGATAAAACAAAAACCTGCAGCTCAAGTCCCAGTTCACATCAGCACAGTGTGTTCAGTTCTCCTCTCAGCTAAAACTCTTTGCAGCAAGTGACAGAAAATCCAACACAAACAAATTTCAGCAAAGAAGAAACTCATTGCCTCGCATCCCTGCGAAGTCCCGATACTCTGCTACTTCAGGCATGGTGGACTGAGGGGCTCAAGCAAAGTCTTCAGGACCTGCCTTTCTCCATCTCTTATTCTTGCTCTGATGTGTTGGCTTCCTTCTAAGGCTCCACATAGTGACAAGAGGGCTGCAGCTGCTCCAGTTTCATTTCATAGATTCGAGTCCACCAGGAAAGAGGACCTTTTCCAAGAGCTCCCAGGGAAGTGATGGGATTCACCCTAGTTGGATGGACTCACAGTCCCAGGTCTACCTGTGACCTAGTCACTGAGACCAGGGGAATGGCATGCTCAGACTGGCTGGATACAGAGGAGAGGTCTCCTCCAAACCTCTTGGATTAAATTGCAGGGTGTGGATCCCCAAATGTCAGAAGAAAGAGGACTAGACGGAAGACTGAAAGGCAAACTACTAATATCCACTGCAATGCTTTACACTTTCAGGGTGAACACGGTAGGAATTATCATCCCCATTTTGCTAGGGAAAGGGTGAGAATGAAGAAAATAAGCCTAATAAAAATGATACAGCGAGTAAAGAACTGAGTCAGGGTTTGGACCAATTCCTCCTAATCTCCACCTTGAGCCCAGCCCCACAGCCAGGCTCCAATCCAGAACCACCACTCCTGGGAGGGGCGGGGCTCATGGTCCACATGCAACCCAGAGTCTGGCAGCAGCACTCCTCCAAGGCCAGTCTGGGGAGACCCACCTGTGAGCCACCACCACCCGCGCCCGTGCAGGCGCAGGTCAGGCCAGGGGCCCAGGAGCAGCTCAGCCACGGGTGGGAGGAGGACAAACACCGGTGTCCTTGGCTCTCAGTGGAGCTGCAAGGTGGAGCCTGATGACACCTCCCAGTGCTGTGTGCCCCCGCCTCTCTCCTCCCTCCTTCCCGCCTGCTGAGACCCACTTATGGGAAATTACAGCTGGAGGTTACCCCTCCCCAGGGGCCTGCAGGAGTTCAACCAGACGATGCTCAGGTATTTGTCTAGAAGATTCTTTTCCAAATGATTTTCCTCTCTGTTGCTTTGCCTGTTGCCCCTTCTGCCTTCTGACACCTGTCCCCTCCCATCCCTTGTGTCCTTGAGTCCTACGTTCTCCTGTAGTCGCCTTTGGAGTCTTGTGAAGGCTGCAGTCCCAGCATCTTGGCAGTCAAAGCCCTCTCCTCCTCTCCAGCTAGTGTGCTGAGGAGAGCCGGGCACTTCCCATGGGTGAGGGAGGAGGCCTGGAGTTGGGTCAAGATTCGCTCCTGTCCCCATGAGTCTGAAACACTGGACACATCCCACATATGACAGTGAAATGATTGTGTCAACTTGAGGAAGTGGGCTAGGGATTTAGCTCAGTGGCACCACGCCTGCCTTGCAAGTGCATGGTCCTGAATTTGATTCCCAGTACAAAAAAAAAAAAAAAAAATTTGAGGAAGAGACCTCTAGCTAAATTGAATCAGCATAGTTCTGGGTGTGGCTGAGGGGATTTACTGGAGATCTGTTGGGATTCACTGGGTGTGACTATAGCAACCAATGGGGGTGGCACCTGAAGGGAATAAAAGGGAAATGAAGAAGGAAGGCTGCTTCTGTTTCTGCAGAGGAGCTCCAGTCTTCCCCTTCACCGTGCAGGCTGTTTCCTGGCTTCCAGCGCAGACCCTTCGGCCTCCTGATACGGACTAATGGGACGCTACCTGGAGCTCTAGGCCTTCGAGTGCATCCTTCGGATCTTCAGTGTGCATACAAACCTGCTCTCTTCCACACCTGACCCTGTGGACGGCCACTGTAAGCTACTCTTGTAAATTCTTATTTGTGTATCTTGCATTAAACCTGTTTCTCTAGAGAGCTAACTGTTACACCACATGTCAAAAACTAGTTTCCTGCAAGGCACAGTGGCACATGCCTCTAATCCCAGCTATGGGGTGGGGCAACTAGGGCAACTTGGGCAATTTAGCAAGATTCTGTTTCAAAATAAAAATATTTTAAAGGGCCACAGCTGTTGCTCAGTGGTACAGTGCCTGCATAGCATGCACAAAGCCCTGGGTTTGATTCCCAATACAGACTTTCTTCATTTAACAACCAAGTTCCATTCCTGGGGTTAGGTCGTTAAATGAATTCGTTGCTTAATGAGGAATTGCATATAGTATGCACATTACAATATTCAGAACAAAGAAATGGTCAAAGGAAACTCCAACTTGATGACTTCGCTTTTATTTGCATAACTCTTACACGCAGTACTGTGATGTACAACAGAACACAGAACTACAGTACTGTGCTGTACAGTACAATCAGCACAATTATAGTACTGTGCGTTGAAGAAGCCACCATAAGGCTGCACTGCCATCGCATTCCTGCATTGTAAATCCAAATGTGGGTCGTAAGTGCAAGTGGGGGGTAGTAAATCCAAACAGTCGTTAAACAAGGAATATCTACACACACACTAAAAGAAATCCTGGGCCTCACTCTGCTGCAGGGACCCCTGCCCCTCAGCCTGGGGATCACTGCAGAGCCCTCCCGTGGGAGGCCCCGTGGGCGAAGCAGGGCGAAGGGCTCAGGCTGAGCAGCCCTGGTTTCTCCCTAGCTTTGGGCAAGGTGAGGGCTGCAGCTCTCCTTCCCCTTTCACCTCCCCCTCTCCAGGACCATCCTCCCTCTGTGCTGGAGGATGCAAAGATAGGGCTGTTAGGGTCTGTACGTGCCCTAGTAAGAGAGGCCCAAGGAATCTGTCTGTCCCTTCACCAGGTTCGGATGCAGCGAGTGCTGCCCTCTAAGAGGCAGAGAGCCCCCACCAGATACCAAATCTACTGGTGCCTTGAACATGGTCTTCCAGCCTCCAGAACTGTGAGCAGTAAACTTCTGTTATTTATAAATTTCCCAGTCTAAAGTATTTTGTTACAGTAGTCCAAATGGACTAAACAAGGAGGGTTATGGGAACAGTGATGGAACCCAGCTGCCACCACAGGATGCTGGCAGTCCCCATAGTGGGTCCTTATGTGGCCACAGCCATCAGTCAGCCTGGCTGCTTGCATCTCGGGTCAACCCAGCCCAAAGATGCTCTTCTAAGCTTCCAAGGTGAGCAGGGCAGGGGTTATGAGGCCTGTGTGACCCACCCCATGGCAGGCAGGCTGGTGCCAGCTCCTGGGCAGGGCCTTGGCTCCTATCCATGCGGTTCCTCCCCGGGGCTTCCTGAGAGTTCTCGCTGCCAGGCAGTCAGCTCCCAGGAGAAAGAAAGCCAAGTCCAAAGCAGAAGACACTCTCTGCCATCCAGTCACGTGAGTCACCTCCTTACTTTCCCCAAGCACTCAACCACACAGGCCAGGCCTGGTTCAGAGTGGGAGGGAACTAGGAGGTACGGCCCCTGGGCTATCCCTCATGCAGGGAGCTCACTGCCTGCTCCTTGGTCCTGGCCCCTCTTCCTCCACAACACCCCAAGCCCCACTCACACAAGACTATTGCACATCACAGAGTGTGCCAAGAATCTAGGGCAGAACAAGAAGCGCCTGGGAAGCTCTGTCTACCCCCAAAGACAGGAGCATGCGTCCTTCCCCCCCCTGCAGTGCCCCTCTCAGGCTCGTGGGGCCCTCAACTCATCTTCTCCCTCCCAGGATGGCAGGCAAGAGAACCATCATCCCCTCAATGCCCAGAGGTCCCCAAAACTCCAGAAGGGTCAGAGAAGAATCCACTTTATTGCTGAACAGGCTAGATTGGGAAAGGGGGTGGTCTCGTACCACCCCCAGATATCGGCATAGACACCGCAGGATAGCACTCCCCAGCCCAACAACAACAATCAAAAGAGGGGGAGACTCAATCCAGGCATGGTGGCACATGCCTGTAATCTCAGCACTCTGGGAGGCCAGAGGCATGAGGACTGCAAGTTGGAGCCCAGCCTGGGCAACTTAGTAACTTAGTGAGAACTTGTCTCCAAATAAAAGATTAAAAAAGGCTGAAGATGTAGCTCAGTGCAAAGGCCCTGGGTTCAATCCCCAGTACTCGGGGGTGGGGGAGCAAGACTCAGGCCCAGAAGCTGCCAGCACCCTCCCGGGAGCCTGCAGGTTAGAGAACCCAGCAAGCACCACCTGGGCAGCAGTTTCCCAGTGCATGCGCAGAAGGCAGGATTGCTCATGCCGCTAGGTTCTGAATTAAAGTGATACATAGCGCAAAATATGCAGACACCTCATCCCCAAATGCACCACATTTTAAAGCAGTGATTCTGCCCGGTTCACTTAGCTCCCTCTGATTTCATCAACCAAACAGGCAACACCTCCTGGTCTCACACAGAATAAACAGAGGAATAGAGAAGGAAGGTAGAACTGTTGTTCTGAAGTGTCATCTCACACATCTTCACCTATGGGCCAGGAGGAGAAACAGAGGCAAGAGCAGATACTCCTGCAGCCCACACCTATGTCTTTGGCCCCATCCCTCTGCAGAGCTCCCATGCACTCTGCTCTATCCAATTCTGCTCTTTTCATGCCCTTTAGCCTCTTTCTCCTCTCCCCACTGCCCCTGGGCCTCAGGGCACATCTGTATGGACATGGGACCCTGGCTAGCACTGAGTCTTCTCTAGCGCAGCCCTGAGGCAACCCGGAGAACCTGGGGAGGGGGGCACTGCACCTTCTCTCAAGCTCATCTTGAAGAGAACGGCCCAGGCCCCTGAGGGGGTGGATAGAAAGCATTATCCCCTTCCCCCCTTTTTTTGAATATTGGGGGTTGAACCTAGGGCCTTTGCACTGAGGTGTATCCCCAGCCCTTTTTATTCAACTCATCCAGGGTCTGGCTGAATTGCTAAGTTGTCCAGGCTAGGCTCAAACTCATGATCCTCCTACCTCAGCCACTCAAGAGTGCTGGGATTACAGGTGTGCATCACTGAGCCAGCTGCATCACTGTCTTTTTAAACAAAAAGGATTTCTTGGAAGTTTCTGAGAATGCTCCCATAGCACAGGAATGGTCTTGGAAAGAATCTGGACATGGTTCCAGGGCCTTTGGACTTGGAATATAAACCAAATGATTAACAATGGCCTGGGCTGGGGAACGGGATTACGGAGGACTTATGCTTCCTCCACATTTGGACTTCTGTTTCCATAACCATGTGTCATCGCCAATAATACTTCTGTTTGGAGAGAGAAATCTGTTGGAAACTAGGGAGGTTGCCAGGAACCCATTACCTCACCCTCCCTCAGCCCCCCAGGGTCCAGGCCACCTACCCTGGAGGATTTCTCAAAATGATCCACTCTGATTTATCATCAAACCCGATAGAGTCCAGACCTACCCGCCCTGATCTGGCCCAGGGCAGTGCCACCAGTACCCCACCTAAGGGACTGGGTCCCCTGCGGATCTCTGCCTACCGACCAGTGACACTGGCTTCCCCTTGCTCTGGGGCCCTAGGCCCATCCCCAGTGGAATTGGAGTTTACAATATGTTGAGCAGCTTCTGTCCGACTTTAGCCATCGAAGCTGCCCTGGTCCCCGGGCCACGCATACTCCTGGCCTCAGGGACCACACTGCTGTGCTTTGAATGCCCCAGACTCTCGGGGATATAAATTCTCTGGGATTTCCAGGCTCTAGCATCTCCCTCAGGCTCTGGCACCATGAGGGCCATTTCCTTGGTTTCATTCTAGAACCCAGGCTGGGCGAGCCCTGAAGGAAACACTGACCACACCATGCTCTGCTCATAGTCAATGGCTCCCACCAACGCACCATGAAACAGAGACCCCTCTACTCTGAGGGACACCCAGAGAAAGAGCTCTCCCTTCGTCTAGTGGCATCTGCATTACTCAACTCCACACACCCCATGAATGGACCGTGCCCTGTACTCTCCCACCTCCATGCCTTGGCCCATGCCATCCCCTCCCCAGGCACCCCTCACCCACCCTCCATCCTCCAATTCCTGCCCATTCCTCCAGCCCCATGCCTACCCCAACCTGTGACCCCACCTCAGGCCTCCCTTCTCCCGAACCAAGTCCCCGGTGCCCCTGAGGCTTCTGCCCAAAGCCTGTCTCCACAGCAGGAGCCACTCAGAATGGTGGATGACTGGAACTGGCCCAGGAGGCAGGAAACAAAAATGGCCCAGGGCAGAGGCCAGGGTGGGAATTTTGTGCCCAGGTGCAGGCCTTGACCTTACACTGGAGTAACAGCTCCCTTGCTGGTCTCTTGTGCCCCCTTTGCCCCTCAGCCACCTCTATCCTGAGCAAGCCACCTAAGCTGCCAGGCATGAAGCAGCAAAAGGCACTGAACCCTCGTCAACTCAAGCAGAGCTTCTTAGTTCCTCCTGGCTGATGTAGGCACCTCACCTGTGATGCTGTCTGCTCAACTTACTGCTGCCTCCTCCAAAGGCCAAGGCCATCACAGCCATGTGTACCTCACCAATGATCAGCCCTCAGGTGGGTCCACCTGATCCAAGCTCAGCCACTTGGACTGTCTTCTACCCTGGGAATGCAGTTTCCCGGATGTAGACATGCAGGAAGGCTCAGGACCCAGGTGACACGCTCATGCACTTTGAGCCCAGCAAGCGCAGATAAGACCAGGCTGCAAAGACAAACAAAAGGAAAGAAAGAGCGGCCCTGAGAGACAGAAAGACCCCAGGCAGCCTTTCAAACCAGACCCGTCCTTTCCTAGCCCTGGCTCCACCATGGTCCAGAACAGGCTCCGTCAATAAAACACAGCCCTTTCCTGTGCTGGCTTCTGTCCATCCAAACATGAGGAGTTGGGGACAAACACCTGATATACCTGGAAGAAATACTTCTGAGGCATAGGAGGGATGTTGGGAACAAGTGCCAAGGCTTCCCTGGGTCCCAAGGGTGGCAGGGAGCGGCAGGCTATCGCACTGTGCTGCTTCTAGAACAAGCATGGGGTGAGGTGCAGGGGACCAGCCACCTGGGTCTAACCCCAGCCCAGCCACTTGCTGACTGGGTAGGACCGGGCCAGCCATTTCCAGCTTTCATTTCCTGTCTAGAAACAAGATGGTGACGATAGTGCCTACCTCAAGGGGGCATTCTGGGGCCTGAGCGAGTGAATATAGGAAAGCCCACAGTAGCACCTGTCACCACCAAACACCAGGCACAGGGCACAAGGCAGCCAAGGTCCCTGCTGGTACATAGCATGTACCTCTCTCCCATTCCAGAGGGAGACAGGCAATAAACAAGGAAGTTTCCATGACTCCTACAAAGACAAGTGACAGCAGTACTGTGGTGGGGGGTGCGGGGCTTCTCTGGACCAGGTGTCAGGAAGACCTTGCTGAGGGGGAGGCTGAAAGGGACTGAAAGCTCACCGAGGAAGCCGGCAGGGTGGCAAGAGCCTGTGCCAAGGCTGGGATGTGAGTGCAGGAGGGAAGAGAGAGCCCAGCAAGGCCATAAGCAAAGTGCAAGAAGGCGAGGGAGGGCGGGCAGCCAGAAGGGCCAGGAGACAGCAGGTGCCTGATGCAGGCTCCTTTTGACCTGCTGCCAGAAGGCATGGGCAGAAATGGCTTCATCCACCCGGCCCTCTTTCACCTCATCCCATCTGCGCCCTGACGCTGGGGAGGTGGGTGGATCATCGGGGTCTGTCTGAATGTAGTGAGGGACAGAAACCAGGACAGCAGGTTGAGACAGCAGGGGATCCTGGGCAGCCCCACCCACTTCCCCTACTCCAGATTTGGACCCCACTGGGAAGGTTCCACAAGATCCCTGTCCTCCAGGGTTATGGCTTACAAGGACGAAGCTGGGATCTCATCTTTCCTGCAGATTAGGAGGGCCTGTGGGGCCAGGAGGCGCTTCAGTGACCTCTAGGAGGAGAGGAAGGAGCTGGCTTGGGGGTTGTGGAGCAGATGGTTCTGTCTTCACTCGGCCACTTCGTCCTAGGTGCCTGGGCAAGGAACTCAGACACCCTGCCCTACACACTGGGGTGACAGTTCCC